CCCTTCTGTACCTCCCAGGGATGAGGAAGGTTACTTAGTTAATATTTGTAAAGAGAAAAGAGGCGACAAAACTAACCTGACACAATGACGTGTCGGAGAAAAACTGAGTTCTCACTATTTTGTTAGGTGCAACAAGTCAGATGTTTTATTAACTCTCACATGTGCAGAGGGAGAGCAAACAGGTCTCACTCTGGTAACTAATTACAGCAAGCATTTATACTTTTCATTACAGAAATAATGAGAGACAGCAGCATTTTTGTTTATACATAGGCCATTTTGATATTTCATTTCCTCAGTTGTTTTGACTTTTGCCAACATACAATTATTTTTTATACCTTATTTACTCAAGGTCTTCTACACTTTATCTATGCTGAGGTCATCATAACTTTTTACACAGCTCTTTCTCACTCGCCTCACACAATCCTCGCTTCTACAAATCTTACGTTAACAAAGTTACAGTTAGCCTAACTTTTACTAACAAACGTCATGCATTACAGTTCTTTTCTGTTAGTTCTTTTTTTTGCTTCCACACATGTTTTCCAATTCTTTAATCATTCTTGTGGCTCTTTTCTGAACCCTCTCCAAATACATGCAAAACTTTAGCCAAAACTAGGAAGGAAAAAGTAGGAGGTGTGGCCAGGATAGTTTTTAAAGTTTTTCAAAGAGCTACATGAGATGTCAACGGAATTTTCCCTTTCTGAGCAAACTTTTACAAAATATAGGCCCAGGTTACATTGACAAAACATGATGGTATATGTATGAGAGATGGTGATTATACAAATAAACAATGGAAAATTAGAAACTCTACATCCCTATTTTTTGGACCATGCTCTGCTCCTTGTTTTGCAGCTTATCGCCCCAAACCTGTAAAGACTTAAATATGCACTTAACTTTACACCTGCAGGTAGTCCTATTGACGTAAATGGGACTACTCCTGGGTAAATTAAGCATGTGTATACCCATTTTCCAGATCAGACCTAAGTGAACATTTTAGGACTTAGTTTTGCATCTTTCCATATCTAGAGAAGGAAAACGAGAGAGGGTAAAACACCATGGAAAATAATAATACAAAATAATTTGCTTATGCAAATGCAGTGCAGACAAGACTTAAGTTTTATGATGAAATGGAACTTGGATGAGATATCTTTTCTTCTGTATTTTTCAGGGTTCTGATATTTTATAAAAATTATAATAGAAAGTTAACATGAAGAAAACTTGTGACTGAATAAAGAACAGGAGTACCTGTTCTTTTTGCGGATACAGACTAACACGGCTGCTACTCTGAAATATGACTGAATAGTTAGTTAAAAGTATTGTAACTGAAGAGTTATTTGATAATGTTCTCTAGCGGCTAAAGCAATCCACTGGTGAATAGAACCATCTTTTTGTAAGATATGCTTTAGTCCCTCACAAGCTATTGAGCTCAATGCAGGGGTAAGTGGGTGAAATTCAATGGCCTGTGACATATAGAAGGTCAGGCTAGATAATCTAATGGTCCTTTCTGGCCTCAAAAGCTATGAACTCTAGATTACATAGCTCTGCTACTGACTCACTATGTGGCCGTGGGCAAGGCACTTAAATACTCTGTTCCTCACTGAAGACATCTGTAAAATAAGTATAATGAGATGAATATCAACATGTATTGATTAGAGAGCTACATATAGATGGAAGTGAAGTTTAGCTGCTTCACTGCTAGACACTGAAAAAAGAAACTGAATCACAGCACAAAGTAAAAATATCTTGGTGCCTCAAGTCCAAAGCAAGGAAAACACATCACAAATGACTTTTATAAAGTGGGTAAGAAGTTGTTATTATTCAAAAGCCTTAAAATAACATTGGTTTCATTTACAAGTTATGAAAACAGGATTTCATTGTATTTATCTAATATATATTTAGAAAGAAACTATATGATAGTTATAGACAAACTGGTAAAATACATCTTCTTAACATCTGGAGACCATTGCTGGTAACATTCCAAGGATCAAGATAAGAATATACCCCTTAGAGTGTAAGTTCATGTTCATATAGATGAATAATATTATAATTTGGATACATATTTACTTTCAATTTTATCCTTTTATCTCTTCACATTTTGAAGAAAATGAACGCAGGTCTTCTAGAAAGCTCACAGAAACAGACTTGGGTGAAGACGTGAAAATGTTAAGTGAGTGCAAATCCATCTTGACTGATAAAAAAAAGACATCATCAAGGTATAGTATCAGACAAAATTTGCTTTCTCCATTCTCAGTTTGCTTTCTCCATCTTCCTGTGTACAATAAGACGAAAATATATCAAGTAAGAGAGCAAATGAAAATAAGAAATGCAATTATAACAGATACCTACATACCATAGTAAGGAAGTTTATCAATAAATCTCCCACCTCCATAGTGATAGTGATTTGGTAGTGGTACCAATGGCCAAAGCCAACTAGAAGGATCCACATTTGTGTGTTCCTCTACCCCCAGGTCAGCCTCTGTTCTGAGCATTGACATCTGGTAGATAGAAGGATTTAACAATCATCGATGCTAGCAACTTTAAATCAACAACTTAGTATTAAAGTGACTTGTGGATGAAGGCCCAAGAGTTTGTTGTGATTATTCACACCAGGAGAAGTATGATGACTGAATGAAAATTTTGTCAGTGAACATCTGGAGCCAGACCAGTATCAGGTGAAGGTGCCTGTAATGGGACAGCTAAATTAACTGTCTTGTGGCTGCAAACTCACAGTTAGGCTTGGCTGAGGGGCTCCCACAGGAGGTGCAGCATTGGTTACAGAGCAGTGGAGTAGAAAGACAAGAGGACTGGGAGAAACAAAGGGGAACAGAGTTGGAGGGAATTGAGAACTGTAATTTAGCATCGTATAGTTAACCTTTTCATCCTCTTTTAGTTAATGTTGGTTTTTTTTGCAGATAGACGTCTGTTTTGCCCATCCATTTTGCCATGTTTCTGCCCTTGATTATGTGCTGGAACCTGCTGAAGGGCTATCCCAATTTAAAAAATAGATATATCCAAGGCAGCGTGTGAGCTATTGAGCTCACAATGATTGCTCGGTTTGCCTACACAGTCATTAATACCTGTGTATAACACACAACTTTGTGAAGCACTTATAAAGCAGCTATTACTGAAAAAGGCAGAAACTATTCTTTTAGGTACAATAGAGTCCTGAAGAATCTGTAAGTACAGGACAGTGCATTGAAATAGTTCCCTTGCAGGAATGGGTGTGAGAGTTGCTTTATAAAATCAAATTTAATCCTGTTGGTTAAAGCTTCAGTTCCTACCTTCTCTCCACTGCATGCTTTCTTGTTGTTGAGAAAACAAGACTATTGTGCATATGTGGAGAAGACTAAGGCATAAGTCTTCAAAGAGCTGAAAACATCTTTTGCAATGATGGGAGTTCCCTTTCCACACACACTGAAATCAAAAAGCTCTTGTAGGATTGGGATTTTAGGCTTAGAAACCAGGAACTGACTCCTTTTCTCCTTTCCTTTTATATCAGGTGGGAAAGCGAAAGTGATTGTGCAATTCATGAAGATTCCTTGAAAGACTTGGACACAGATATGGTAATGAAACTATACTTCTCGATTGAACATGTGTCCTCTGGAAAATGAGATTTATTTATTTTTTACTTTTAATGACTTGATTTTTCTTATGCAAAAACTGCAGAAATTCTGGGCCAGATTGTGTACTTGGTTGCACATGTTCAAGCCATTGGCCAGGTTCTCAGCTCTGCTCCAGCAGCTTTGCATCACTACAACAGCTCAAATCAGCCACAGTCCTTTCTTAATCAGCTCCTTAAGATTCCCCCCGTACATGCCATTAACATTTTTCTGTTGTTTTAAATTTTAGAAAGAATTATTTGCAGCAAAACTGAAGTTACCTAACATATGTGTAGCTCCTCTTCCAGTAGATGCTATGTATCTTTCTTTCCTCTATCTTAGGTGCCCGAAATATATTTCACAGATCCAAAACAGTTACTTCAGATCTTCACAGAGCTAGAGGAACAAAATCTTGCATTGATCCAAAATAACCAAGACTTAGATGAAACTATGGATGAACTTGAGCAGATGGCAAAAATTATAAAGGCAAAACTGTAAGTTATTGAACTAAAGAGAGCAATATGTAGTTCAGAAGCTAGTTGGTACCTCTTCACCGCTGGATATTTTGATTAACTGACCTATTCCCTGAACAGCAAAGCAGAGACATTTTCAACATAGTCATGCTTTAAGTATGGCTCATAAGGTATTTTGAAGGAGCACAATTTCTGAATAAGGTAGATACATAACAGAAAATAGCAGTTTCACTACACAAGCTTGTCATTTTTGGGTGGCAAAGAGGTAGACTGGGGAAACAAATATGCTCCATGTTGTGTATGTCCCATTTGTAATTAGTAAGGGCCATATAATCCCTGGCCTAGTGTGATGGAGTGGAGGAGAAGGTGCTGGGATTATTATTTATGCAGGATATTACCATGACACTCATTTAACCATAAATGCCTTTATGAAATACAAAGGCTGAATGGTATTTATACAGTTGCTCTAAACATGCCTAAAAAGCCTAACTAATAAGCAGTTTACTACATCCAAGCTCTAACAGAACACTTACAAATGGGCTAAACCAAGGGGTGCTTAGACACATATTGGTCAGCTCCAACATGGTCAGGCAGGGATTAGCAATGAACCCTTTCAGAGTTTATTTTTTGTATACCCCCCCTTAACAAACAAGTGATGTCATTGCCAAGTCTCAGACTTTAGCTAAGGCCAGATGAAGCAGTTTCTTATGTTGCCAATTATGTAATGCACCTGGTACCCAATTAACCATGTTTTATTTCTATTACTTCAGCCCAAACCTTAAATAAGATAACACAGGTATTTTGAAGTTTCACTACAAGTTTAACACAACTCCTCTTCTTTTTTCATGATCTCATTCTTTTTGGTCACAGGCTTTCTGCCTTTCGTGCATGCTAATATCCCAACTCAATTTAAAACCATAATTCACTCACATCTAATGAGGGCCTATATTCCTACAGAAGGGCACAAGGAGGCTCTTTTCCTCCTCCTCCTCCCGGCCCATTCAACAGACTGTGGGAATACACCTCAACCTACAGGGGGAGCAGGAGGAGTCAGGGCCATGCCCCCATCCCTTTTGCAATCAGGATCCACTTTAGACAGTGTGGTGGTTATGGCACTTTTGCTAAATTTCAACATGGATAATTAAAATTACTTTACTTACATTCCCATTTTGAGCTGGATAAGAGATTCTTCTTCACTTCCTGCCCCACAGAGTTGTGTAATGTGTCCGAGTGCTGTTAAATAGCTTTTGTGTTCCAACCCATAGCAAGGTGAAGTGACCCCTATACATTATTTTGTATGGACTTTAGGAGGAAAGCTACTTTGTGAGCTGCAGATATTACTTCACAGAGGCCTTATGGCCTTCTGTCTAATGGTGCACGTGAGCTGTGTTAATATCCTTTCACAAATGCACAGCTTATTTGTGTTTTATTTTTTAATTAATGTCAAAGTTTTTAAAATCCATTTTTTGTTCATTTTCTCTATTTAATTGCCTAATTTCTACAGTGCCTAATGCTTATTTGTTATAGTATCAGTTGATAATGACTGATGACAGTCACTGTAGTGAAGTTTAAATAATGCCAAGATTTGTTCTAGCTGCCTAGAATGCTTTCAAATTGTTAACTTATATGAAAAAAAGAATTCCTGTCATTTTCTTTCCCCATACAAGAGATAAACTGATTTATTGTTTAGACTTGGAGCTTTGAAGTCTTCCTTTTCTTAGAATAGCCAGTTTCTAAGGTCTGGTCTATACTACCCGCCTGAATCGGTGGGTAGAAATCGACCTCTCGGGGATCGATTTATCGCGTCCCATCGGGACGCGACAATCGATCCCCGAATCCGCGCTCTAACTCCACCAGCGGAGGTGGTAGTAAGCGCCGCCGACAAAAAGCGGCAGAAGTCGATTTTGCCGCCATCCTCACAACGGGGTAAGTCGGCTGCAATACGTCGAATTCAGCTACGCTATTCACGTAGCTGAATTTGCGTATCTTAAATCGACTCCCCGCTGTAGTGTAGATGTACCCTTAGATATTAGCAGTCAGGGCTGGCCTTACCATGAGGCAAACTGAGGCAGCCACCTCAGGTGCCAGACTGTGGGGCGGGCGCCACTAGGACCCAGAGTGAAGAAAATTGTGTCTGCTGCTGGTGCATATGTATTCTCTCTGCTCTAGATGCACAGAGATGGTAGAGTGCTGTGCTGGAGGAAGAAGGGCACAAGAGACATAACAGGCAGGCAGGAGAAAAGATGAGAGGGAATAACAGAAAGCAGCAGGAGCTGCAGGGAGAGAGAGGAGGAGGAGGAGCCTCTTATGTACCTCTCTAGCACCCCCAGGAGCCTGGACTGATTAACACCAGCTTCTTAGGGAGCTTCCTGTTTCCTGCTGCTTCCCTGAATCTACTTGAGGAGAACAGGCAGTTAACTGAAGCAGTAGGAGCCAGTTAGGCCCTTAAGACACTGATATCTTCCCTCACTCAGGCCCTGCTACCAGCCTGCTTATTTGTCCCCTTCAATTGAGTGTTGAGAGCCACTATAGCTGGCACAGAACATGAGTGAAATAAGAAAACGCCCCTTTGGGGCAGCATTCAGAAACAGAAAGAAAGCAAAGGACGCTTTTCTATCTAAGCAGGAAGGAGCTCTCCTGAGATACATAGTCACAAATGTTCATGGTGAGCCTTCTGGCCTCAGTGAGGATGTGAGTGGTGAGGAGATGCCTGATCTACCAGTTAGTCAGAGTGCAGATGACCTGGCAGCTACTGCAGCATCCATATCTCCATCTCAAATGGATGTAACCATGTACATTCCTGAAGAAAAGTATAGATCAGAGAAGAGTGTGTTGGAGGCACAAGAAACGGCTGCTGTTGAGTTTAGTTCCTTAAATCTAGATGATCCAGGACTGTGGACCCACTTGAGCAGTAGCCTGAGGGACTTCCTTGTACTGCATGGGCCACAGCAAGTGAAAAACTTCATGTTCCCCAAAGATAATGAAAATAGAAGTTACCATCCAACACATTACTGGCATGAAATCCCCAATGGTGACAAAGTGGAGAGGCCATGACATGTACTCAAAAACCCAGAAAGCTGCATACTGTTTTTGTTGCAAACTCTTCCAGTCTAATGTTCCAGCCACATTGGGTTCTACAGGAACAAA